CTATCAAAATAAAGAACTCAGTAATAGTGGGGAATTTCAATTATCCCCATATTGACTGGGTACATGTCACCTCAGGACAAAATGCAGAGACAACATTGCTCGATACTTTAAATGACTGCTTCTTGGACTCAAAAGGTAATAACAAAATGTTTTTTAAGTACATCAGAAGCAGGAAGCCTGCTAAACAACCAGTGGGGCCCCTGGATGATCGAGATACAAAAGGAGCACTTAAAGACAATAAAGTCATTGCAGAGACACTAAATGAATTCTTTGCTTCAGTCTTCATGGCTGAGGATGTTAGGGAGATTTCCAAACCTGAGCCGTCCTTTGTAGGTGACAAATCTGAGGAATGTCACAGATTGAAGTGTCACTAGAGGACGTTTTGGAATTAATTGATAAACTTAACAGTAACATGTCACAGGGACCAGATGGCATTCACCCAAGAGTTCTGAAAGAACTCAAATGTGAAATTGCAGAACTAGTAACTATGGTTTGTAACCTGTCCTTTAAATCAGCTTCTGTACCCAATGACTGGAAGATAGCTAATGTAATGCTGATATTTAAAAAGGACTCTAGAGGTGATCCCAGCAATTACAGACTGGTAAGTCTAAAGTTAGTACCGGGCAAATTAGCTGAAACAATAGTAAAGAATAAAATTGTCAGACACATATATGGACATAAATTGTTGGGCAAAAGTTAACATGGTTTCTGTAAAGGGAAATCATGTCTTACTAATCTATTAGAGTTCTTTGAAGGGGTCAACAAACATGTGGACAAGGGGAATCCAGTGGACATAGTGTACTTAGATTTCCAGAAAGCCTTTGACAAGGTCTCTCACCAAAGGCTCTTACATAAATTAAGCTGTCATGGGATAAGAGGGACAATTCTTTCATAGATTGAGAACTGTTTAAAAGACAGGGTACAAAGGGTAGGAATAAATGGTAAATTTTCAGAATGGAGAGGGGTAACTAGTGGTGTTCCCCAAGGGTCAGTCCTAGGACCAATCCTATTCAACTTATTCATAAATGAACTGGAGAAAGGGGTAAACAGTAAGGTGGCAAAGTTTGCAGATGATACTAAACTGGTCAAGATAGTTAAGACCAGATGATACTAAACTGGTCAAGATAGTTAAGACCAAAGCAGACTGTGAAGAACTTCAAAAAGATTTCAGAAATCTAAGTGATTAGGCAACAAAATGGCAAATGAAATAAATGTAAAGTAATGCACATTGAAAAAAATAACCTCAACTATATGTACAATATGATGGGGACTAATTTAGCTACAACTAATCAGAAAAGAAATCTTGGAGTCATCGTAGATAGTTCTCTGAAGTCCATGCAGTGGCAGTCAAAAAAGCAAACAGGATGTTAGGAATCATTAAAAAAGGGATAGAGAATAAGACGGAGAATATCTTATTGCCCTTATATAAATCCATGGTATGCCCACATCTTGAATACTGCGTACAGATGTGGTCTCCTCATCTCAAAAAAAGGTATACTGGTATTAGAAAAGGTTCAGAGAAGGGCAAAAAATGATTAGGGGTTTGAACGGATCCCATATGAGGAGAGATTAAAGAGGCTAGGACTTTTCATCTTGAAAAAGAGGAGTTTAAGGGGGGGGGATATGATAGAGATATATAAAATCATGAGTGGTGTGGAGAAAGTGAATAAGCAAAAGTTATTTATTTACTTGTTCCATAATATAGAACTAGGGGCCACCAAATGAAATTAATGGGTAGCAGGTTTAAAACAAATAAAAGCAAATTCTTCACACAGCACATAGTCAACCCGTGGAATTCCTTGCCTGGGCAGGTTGTGAAGGCTAGGACTATAACAGGGTTTAAAAGAGAACTAGATAAATTTATGAAGGTTAAGTCCATTAATGGCTATTAGCCAGGATGGGTAAGGAATGGTGTCCCTGGTCTCTGTTTGTCAGAGGGTGGAGACGGATGGCAGGAGAGAGATTACTTGATCATTACTTGTTAGGTTCACTCCCTCTGGGGCACCTGGCATTGGCCACTGTCGGTAGACAGGATACTGGGCTGGATGGACCTTTGGTCTGACCCAGTATGGCCATTCTTATGTTCTTGCTAACTAATAGATCTCAAAATATAATTGTTAATGGAGAATCCCCAGTTAGAGGGGATGTTTCTAGTGGGGTCCTGCAGGGTTTGGTTCTTGGATAGGGTGACCAGATGTCCTGATTTTATAGGGACAGTCCTGATTTTTTTATCTTTTTCTTATATAGGTTCCTATTATCCCCCACACCCTGTCCTGGTTTTTCATACTTACTATCTGGTCACCCTATTCTTGGACCAATATTGTTATCACTGATTTGGAAGAAAATATAAAACAATTACTGATGAAGTTGGCAGATGCTTCAAAGATTGGTTGGGTAGAGAATAATGAGGAGGCCAGGTCACTGATACAGAGCAATCTGGATTGCTTGGTAAAATGGATGCAATCAAACAACAGGACTTTTAACACTGCCAAATGCATGGACATACATCTAAGAACAAAGAATGTTGGACATACTAATTGGACTGGGTATTATATTTTCTGGAAAACAGCAACTTTGGAAAGGATTTTGGAAACATTGTTGATAACCAGTTGAACATGAGCTCCCAGTGTGACATGGTGGCAAAAAAAGCTAAAATGGATGTAAACGAAGTGTTGGGGATGAGCAGGGATGAGAGCATTATTACCTTAGTATATGGCATTAGTGAGACCATTACCGGAATACTGCATCCATTTCTGGAGTGCACGTTTTTAAAAAAGGATATTGAAAACTTGGAGAGGGCTTAGGGAAGAAGTGAAAGAATGATTCTTGAAAACTCTTCTTACAAGAAGAGACTAAAAAGTTCAGTCTAAAGCTTATGAAGAAGAAACATAAGAGATGATGTGATCATGGACTGTAATTACTTATACAGGAAGATGATGATATTGCAGGGTTCTTTTAAATATAGCAGCCAAAGTTCTAAAAATATCTAATGGCTGGAGGTGGAAGTTAGCTATATTCAAATTGGAAATAAATAGCATCTTTTTAACTGAGAATATTTAACCATTGGAACAGGTTCCCAAGGCATGTTGGTTGAGTCCCCATCACTTGGAGTCTTTACATCAAGAATGGATATTTTTCTAATACATATGCTGTAGTTCAAACAGGTTTTGGGGCAAGACGCAAAAAATATTAGGTAAACTTCTATGGCTCGTGTTATGCAAAGTGGTCAGACTAGATGAGCACAATGGTCCCTTTTGTCTTTAAAAATCTATTAATCTATAAAAATCCAGTTTGAAATTTTAAAATAAACCTAAGTTGCCAGCAGTGTCTGAATGTTAGTTCAGATACAGGCACAGAATCATCCTTCTGATTGGATTGCAGAATTAGAGGAATAGTTTGCATGCAATATAGCTGCAGTCACGTTGAGTCCAAGATATTGGAGAGACAATGTAGGTGAGGTAATAAACTAATATCTTTTATTGGACTAATTTCTGTTGGTGAGAGAGACAAGCTTTCAAGCCAGACAAAGCTCTTCTTCAGGTCCGGAAAAGATACTCCCAGTGTCACAGCTAAAAGCCAGGTGGAACAGATTGTTTAGCATAAGTAGTTAGTACACATTCCAGGTGGAGTGGCCTGTTAACACCTCTGCAGTCATAAAAAAATGGGGTTAGTGGGTTTCAGATTGGTTTAATAAGCCATAAACTCAATGTTTCTGTTCAGTCCATAATTTTTAGTGTCTAGCAGAATTATGAATCTAAGCTCTCAGGCTCATCTTTTGAAAGTGTTGTGCAGGTTTCCTATAAGGCTGAGGACTGATAGATCAGATAGGAGTGATTGCTTTGTGAAAAGTGTTCATCCTCAGATAATAGGATGTTTGTGTCTTATATCATCATATATATTATGTATTATTATCTGTTCTGGCAGATGTTTTGAGTTGGTATCTCCTAATCTGTGCAGAGCTTGCTTCTGATGACAAACTTGGAGAGGTTGGGTGGGTTATTTGAAGCCCAGAAGTGAATGCAATGAATCCCCACTTCTGGTCTTCAAACAACCCCCAACCTCTCCCAGCAAATCATCAGAAGCAGGAATATCTCTGCTGACTACTTATGCTAAACGATCTGTTCCACTTTGCATTTAGCTGTGATTCTCTATGAGTACCATTTCCCAGAATTGAAGAAGAGCTCTGTGAGGCTTTTTCACCAACAGAAGTTAGTCCAATAAAAGGAATAGTATGTTGCATTCTGATACCTGTAACTGCAGAATGGTGGGAGTCAAGTAGCATAAACACTTTCAGAGCTTCTTTTGGTTTGAAATTAAAATTACTGGTTTAAAATAACAGTACAGATATTACTGAATATTAACTTGTGTTATCATTAAACATATACATACAAGAAAGTTAAAATACCTGGCTCATTGGTATTAATTTAGTAATGAGGATGAAAATAACATTGAGGAAAATTGTTCATTTAATTTAAGATAATTGCTAAGAATAAAAATCCTTTCATATGATTAAAAAGGAGGCTTACTTAAAATTTTCATAATAATTGTGATGAAAAAGACTGAAAAAACTTGCTACTGTTTGTGACAATAAAACCTGACAGCATTATCTGGCTGTCAAAAGTAGTGACAATGTTCTGAATTTGAGTCAGTGGCCTAATCATCTTTCAAGTTCATATGAATCAACACTTTTTTTTTTCTAAATATGACTTTAAAAAAGTCTAGATTAATTTGTTTTGTCCACATTTTTTTAGCCAATAATAAGCAAACCTAAGTTATTAAATGAGATAGCACTAAAGTGAGAGTAAATTTACATCAACTTAGACCAGAACAAAAATCTGTGACTAAATTAACACTGTAACTCATTCATTATACAGTAATTGCTAAATAACTGTAAAATACATGACATACTGTTCATTACCAATGTAATTAGTACAGCTTTTTCTATCCACTTTCATGTACATCCACATTTCCAGAAAAGGAATGCAAATATAATTACTTACCAAGATGGTAGTAACAATTAAAGAGCGATTGGATAGGGAGTCTGTGATGTTTGCTGGTTTTCCTTTCTGATTCTCTGTCATGTTAAGGCCACTTGCTGGATCCCAAGTTCCAATCTATAAAAACAGCATATGCACTTTATAAATTGTCCATCAGTTCTATTAGATGCCTAGGAATGAATACTGAAAGGAGAAGTTAAGACTGCTAACACTTATTATTCACCTCTACTGCATTATCTGCTGTCGTTATATTAAAGTCTGCTTGTTTAAAGTATGATTCACTGCACTTCAAAGTGTGTCTGGTGAAGTGTGACATTAAGGGCAAAATGATGCAAAGAATTTCTAAAGTCACTCTGAGTGCTTAATTTCCCATTTAAACTTTCATTCTCCAAGATAAACCGCCTCTGATGATAACTTGATAGCTGAGGGGAAATTCATTTGCAGAGCATACAGTATCCCTTCTGTAAATGGATTTATCCCTTCTCATCATAGTTAGCATAAGGGCAAAAAAAGATATTTTGGAGAAAATATAATGGGGAAGATTCAAATTTTATTAAGTGGAATAGTGTGATTGATTTTCTGATAAGATTCTGTACATATATCTTCTGACACTTACGGCCTTGAAGTCCTTATCCCAGAAACAGTCAATAGCAGTTTTGCCTAAGTAAGGAGTTCAGGTTGTGTCTTATGAGGCTGCATTACTTCAGTGTTATGCCTGTATAACTCCACTAAAATCAATAGTTACACGAGTGTAAAATTCGAATAACCAAGTGTTAAATCCATACCTTAGCACTTCTCTTTAGGTGTAAGACTATTTTGGTTTTTTTGTCTTATTTTAGTTCATTAGGGTGTACAGTCCCCAATCAGAACACCGACAAAATTGGGGCAGTCATGCCTGAAGAGCCCAGTCAGTGTCCAACCTGATGCTTGGACTGTGGGAGCTGAGTCTGGTGTCATAGAGTGCCCCCCCCTATACTGGCTCAGTCAATCCCTGTACCTGGTGAGGTGGTGCCACACCTCAGCCCCCAGGGACCCCAATCACACTCCCATCCCTCCCCTTCCACCTCCCATGCTGTTGCTACCCCTGAGCTTCTCGCTTTCCCTTTCTCTGGGGTGGGGTGGGGGAGACCCTCAGGAAGCGGTATTTGTTTTCCCTTTCCTCACTCCAGCAGGGGTTGCCGTACACACACACCCCCACCACACACACACGGGCTGCTGTATCACCCCCCCACACACACACACAAGGGGTCACTGTACTCCCCCCCACACACACACACAGTAGTGCCACTCAGGTCAGTTTTTGTTCAGGAAGGACCTTAACCTACATTTCATACACTGATATGAGCTCTCTTCCCTGCCACTCACCCCTCTGGAAAATAAGATGGACAGCCTTTAAATGAGAGTAAGTAAGGAACTTGAATAACCTTACATACTAGCATATTTCAGTTTTTACATGGGAGTATCCCTTGGAAGGAGTAACTGCTACTGCATTTCCAGACTTTCAGACCACGGGGCTCTAAAGAACTGCTGCCCAGTCAGTCAAACGTAACCTGGAAATCGGTTGCAAGGGGGCAATCAGAAATGCACAACCCACTGGCTAAGAAAGCAGCAAAATCCTGGGGTTTTTAGGAACCAGCAGGAGCCCAGGCAGGGAAGGGCTCTGCCTCCATTCTGCTGCTGCCTCCATCACTCAGCCACCCATGAAAGTGCAGAGATGTTGGGGAAAGCCGTGATAGGTCACTTGTAGAAGAGAACTGGCAAGAAGGGGAGAGATAAGGTGGGAGCTGGGGAAGAGGAGGCTAAGACTAGGGGTGACCTGGGTCTGTCAATGCTGTTCCTGTACAAGAGTGAGTTAGGTAGGATTGGGTTGGGTTAATCTTCACGATCTTTCCAGCATATTCAGCAATTATAGCCTGGTCTCAGGAAAGTAGTCTATGAATAATGCAGATATCTAAGGAGATACTTATGGGAATCCCATATGTATGCATTATCCATTTCAAATCTTAAATTCAGGAAACCATATATTTTATTTTATTAAGCCTGCCTAAAAGTTCTGATACCCATAGGCAATTAAAGTAATTTCTTCCACTACATCTTTCAACATAACATGTGTTTTGGTTAATCTAACCACATTTGTGAGTCACTGAGGATTACCACATTAGAATTTTGCTTTTTCTTTAACCAAACCTATCTAGTCTCATAAGTGTTTCTATCATTTAAAGGAGAATTTCTTTGTGTAAAAACAAATATCCTACTGTTTTCTCTAAATAGATATAATTATAGTTGCATGTTACAGCATTTTGTTTATCTTTTTTGAAAATTATGAATAAAGAATTTTAAAAACTGAAGGAAAGGGAGGGCCGGACTGCCATAGGTGTGCCACCTTACACGTTATCTCTTTTGGGTGAGCAAAGCTTTAACAACTTATACCATAGATATGGCAGACACCTGCTATCGCAGGTAATGCAGCATATCAACATTCTACTAAAAGCTATTTCTCCATGAATGAAAGTAAAAGTTGAAGATTAACCTTGGCACCAAATCCGTTGCAGTAAATTTGTTTAGTGCAAGTGTTTTAATTCTCAAGCAGTCTTAAGAACTGAATAGATTTAGTAATGTATGTTCAGTGAAAACTGGAAAACAAATAATTCCCTTAAGGCAAAAAATGTAGTGGAATCAAACCTAGCTAATTTATTATGTATAATTGCAATCCAGCTTCTCTATGGCAATCTAAACATGTTGAGTATTATAAGGTACATGTTTAAAGGGAAGTTTACATAGCAATTGCAGTTATGAGCAAAACTTTATCATGAGATCTAAGACAATGGTGGAGGGACAATATAATCTTCAAATCCTTATTCACATAAGTAGCCTTATGTGAATAGCCTCATGACATCACTTGTGAGTAAGAATCTCATGTGAATAAGGGTCCATAAACAGGCCCTAAACTCTCACAATTTCTAGTTGCAGCCAAAGAAAACATACATTTGTAGCTCCTACAGGATATGTATTTATAAAAAAACTAAGCTTTTGGATTACTTGGAGATCAATATTCAGCAATGACTTTCACATTGTTCTCCAACAGAAAGGCGGCCAGCAATGTCAAAAAGGTCTTGGAGTGTTGCTATAGGTACGAGACATATGAACCAAACATAACAGAAGGGGACAAGGAGCAGGAAATGGAGAAATATTTATTGAATCACAGATAAGACACTCATATTACTCCCAGAATTATATTATTATTAAGGACCTATTTAGCTTGTCATATTGCGGAAATTGCAGATTCCACAATATTAGGCTTCCATTGCAATTTTGACAGTAGGAGCCCTGCCATGTGCGGGGCTGACGGTGGGAGCCTCTGGGGGTGGGAGGGGCGCTGTCAGGCCCCGGCCCCTGCTTTCAGCCCTGGGCCGGTGACAGCGGAAACCCCTGCTCTGAGCCTTGTGTTCCCATTTTCAGCCCCAGGCAGACACCAGATAATCACAGAAAAGTAATGATAGACTTTATTACTGCAATTATTACTTTTCCATAATTTTCCATGGCTTGTCCGCAACTCTGCTGCAATTTTTTGACAATCATCCCACAATTCAAGTAGAGCCTTAATTGTTATGTAATTAATCTCTACTAACAGAAATGCACGTCTTATGCCTAAGAGAAATCAATCATTTGTAGGCAGGTATATACACAGTTCCATTGGGTAAATCAATCAAATAGATCCTTTCACTACAATATTAACAGGGTTTTCATGACATTTATCTGACACGGGCTCAATATAAACATAATAAAAAACTGAAAGATGATCAGAAGTCTCCTAAAAATATTCAGTGTGTGGATAACATAGAGTTCAGCAAATACCAAAAGATATGATCTGGAAATATCCACTTGCATTTTAAAATGAATTAGCTTCATTTGTGCTCAAACGTCTTGTATGCACTTTCCACAAAGATTAGAGTAACTGAGTTTTCTCCCACAAATGTTCATGAAAAAAATTTCAAACGTGAACAAAATAAGTTCAAATTTGCACAATTATTTGTGCCAGAAAAAATGTGTAAGATTAATGCAAACACTACCAGAATTCACAAATGAGCAGTTAGTCACAGGTCTAGAGAATAATATCACTGTGCAAAGGAGGGCTCACGGATACTATAATAATCTAATATAAAGTATCTGAGAAAATGCAGTGATTTAGCTTAGTTCTTCTGAAAGCTCCAGAATGGCCTCAACAAATCTGCTGTAAAATGTTTAAAGTGGTCTTTTTCTTTTACCACATATCACATTGTAAAGATCTGCTTTTAGTCGTGTCAATAACAATCTAGCAAAAGTTATGTGTGAAAAAATTCTATTCCACTTTCTGTGGAAATGTAAGAAATCAAGTGTTTAGCCTCCTCTTGAACACCCTCATATTCCCTTCGAAGCTACTATATTTGCCAGAAACAATCTGATTTAATACAAATCCTCAGACTCTGTAAGACATGTATTGTACTCATCTTGAAACTGAGCTTGGCTGAGTTCATGTCTAGACTACAGAGGAGTTTACTGTATGTCAGTCAAATGAGACTTTACCCACGGATATTTCATAATATAGATTATATGCAATTTATTGCCTACTTAGACTGTAGATAAAATGTCATTTTTATAACTAACCAAATGTTCTTTCACTGTTATTTTCAGAATTACCCTCAAAATGTTGACATTTTTCTGACTGTGAGGTGCCCAAACATGAATGTACTGTTTTAGATGTGGTGCCTTTAGTGTTGCAATAAGGGGGATCACCATCTTTAGGGTCTGTGAAGCAAATCTTTCAAGTGTGCAGCCAAAATCACATTGGCTTTCCCCACCACAATACATGACAAGCTCCTATAGTTTACTACCCTATCATTATTATTTTTATACTTATTAGACATTTCTATAGTGCTTATTACTTCAAGATCTGAGCTATTATCTTTTTGATATTAGTATTTCTCATTTAAGTCCTTTCCATTTAATCTCTGAGTTCCATATTCCATTTTCCTCAAAAAATATGTAACTTACTTGTTTGAAACTCATTTTGTTATAGCACATATTTCTGATCTTTTTGTTCATTTGTTTGTCCTCTCTGGCATTTGTATAGTAATATA